CCTAACACATCCTGTCGTTTTTCCAAAAAATTTATTTTTGCCCAATTTTCGCATATTTTATAAGGGGTAACATCGTCAAATTTGGCGAAAAATGGACAAAAAATAAATTTCCCAAATTTGAACGCCAATCGATTGGGGATGTGATTACGAACTCAACGAGGTATAACACTCATGATTTGGACCTTAGAATCGATTGTTTTGGCCAAAATACCGATTTTTAGGTCGGGAAATCCAAGGGTAACTTCTTGCCAATTTTCGCATATTTTATAAGGGGTAACATCATCAAATTTGGCGAAAAATGGGCAAAAAATAAATTTCCCAAAGTTGAAAGCCAATCGATTGGGGATGTGATTACGAACTCAACGAGGTATAACACTCATGATTTGGACCTTAAAATCGATTGTTTTGGCCAAAATACCGACGGACATATGTACCTTGAAGTAACCTTTTAATATTTCAAATAATTTGAATAGATATCCTGCCACGTGCACATAATATTTCAACCAGAAAATGTGAATGTTTTAAGGAATACCAAAGCCTGATGTTCTAAGGAATCTCTGTTGCTCTAATTACAATATTTTAATGCAAAAGGAATGTAAGAGGAAACCTGAAGGCTGGGCATCAGAAACTGCACATTTAGTCGGCTTGGCCTTCTAAGCCAGCTAACTTTGAGGTGCAATAAGCAAATAACTTGCAGAAAGTGCCTACTAAGCCAGCTTTACTCCGCATCCCCTGCTTGCCACCAGAAGCCACTGATGAAATGATAAATTCCGCAATAATGGAAACCAAGAGTGCTAACCTCAGTCTGCTGAGGTCGAAGAACTGCCAAGTGCCGGCTTGGTTAATGGCTCCTGTTTCGCTCCGAAGCGAAAAAGAGCAGGAATACCTCGTTGCCGGAATGCTTGCCATTCAAATTGTTAAATGGCAAAACTAATGCCGCTCGAAGCCAGCTGCAAATTTTTGACATGCCTTTTACATTTCCAACAAGGATCTCCGGCGACCCCCGACTTTCCGTCCGCGGCAAACTTGGGAAACTAGGCGCTTGGAGCTTGGAGCATGGAGCACGGAGCATGGAGCTTGGGAGTCCCGAAGACGGGGACGACCTCCTGGCAGCATGTTGGCAGCTCGGCCGTCAGTCTGTCATATTCGTGAGTCTTATAAAATGTATTTACATTCTGTATATGTATTCCTAACTGGGTTCCATGCTCGCCTTTGTTTTTGTCGCCCGTACTTCGTTATTTTGTTTTCCTCGCTGTGGCAACATATTTCACTGCATAATTTCCCGGCTGATGTGACTGTTCTGCCCCCTCCGTGCCGCTGGCCCCTTGCAACGCATGCAAATGACAACAGCAACATCACGAGCGGCAAAAACAGGCAGCACTAAAAAAGTTGACAAGGGGCAAGCCGCAACAAACGTCTAACTGACAGTCGTCGCTGGGTTCCTATCTGTGTGCAAAATATTCCCAAGCCATATCGAATATTCCCAAAAAGGATATCGGTTTCCATTTCGTCTCAGCGTAACTTCGTTACCTGAGTTCGAAGGTCAAATGTTTGCTTTCTATGCTCCAATTGCTTCCTATGATTTCGTAAAAAAACATTACCTGTATTCATGGACGTTTGTCACGAGTACTCGCAACCTGCCACATTACAGCTTACAGGGTACTCCGCAGTCGCGTTTCGCTCACAGTCTGCCGCCTGGCAACCATTTTTTCTGCTCTATGCTTGGCTTGTTATCATTTTTTAATAACATTGTTGCGCACAGCGGTGAAATTTGCATAAAACACACAGCGGGCGACTGGCGACGGGACAGCAAGTGGCCGAGGGAATCGGATTCGGGGACTGGGAAGTGGGAAGTGGGAAGTGGGAGCAGGGAAATGGGACATCGGACAACATGTGGTATGAGTAATTTCTGGCTTAAGCACAAGACAACGGCACGAGCGTGCTTTATGATTGCTAGTGTGTGTGCGAGCGGGAATGATGCGATGGAATAAAACAATTTTCATACAAATTCCGTGCATTTGCATAAATTTCATGCACTCCGGACGTGGCGATGTCGTCATTTTCATTTTCATCTACTTAGCGCAGAGCGATGCAGCCGGAGGTGGCGGAGGGGCGGACGTGCCGCAGGTGGGCGTGGCTGATGAAGGCATCGGGGCACGGCACTTAAAAATACGGGTATGGCGCAGTGGATGTGGGGTATGTGGGGCCCAAGCCCAGGATGTACTCCTCCCCATTCACACGCCTGTAAAAGTTAGCGGCACAACTTTTTGTCGCCTGGCAATAATCATAAAATTTCACTGCATATGAAACAAAAAACCATAAAAGCGGTACCAAAAAGGGAGCACAAGAAACGTGATTGCAGCATAAAAGCGTCATTTACATGCCGTTGTCGTTGTCGCTGCACTTGCATCACTCGTCACTCCTGCCACCGTGCCAGCCATCCTGCCAGCCAGATGTCCTGGAGTCCTGCCATCGCATCCTGGTCCATTTGCGCATGCGTCGCAAACTTTTCCGTTTGCCATTTGCCGCCTCAATAGTTCGCAGTTGCCAGCTCTCAGTTTTCAGTTTCCCGTCCCACGGCTTTATTGAGGTTTTGTTTAAGCTTTTAGCGTAGTTTCCACTTTTTCGGGGCAGGAGAGCCAGTAGCCAGGGGCTACAGCTATAGCTGCAGCTATAGCTTTAGCTACCCATTCCATTCCATTTGGCCAAAAAAAAGTTTTTTCGGTTCTGTGTTTGGCCGGCAGCATTTTTGCAATTAGGCAACTGTTCTATACGAGAGTACATTTCTTTTTTACTTCTCTTTTAGTTTGCCAAATGCAATGGAACTTTTCATTTTCGGCCACAGTTGCAGAGTTTTCATGGCTAGCAGCATTCGGCACACACAGAAATTCCCATTCACGCAGAGGGACAGAAATTGGTGCGTAATTGAGACCGAATGTAAGGCCATAACAGCCTTTGAGCTGCTTTTTTATTTGCAGCATTTGCGAAGTGGAATATTTATTAAATTATGAGTGGAAACTCGCATACGAAACATTATTTAATTGGATGTGGTATTTTTTCTACGGCCATGCCAGACGAATATTTCATTTGATAGTCCTGCAAACGGGACTGATTTTTTATTTAAATGGAAATTAGTATGTCTGGTGCAAAGAGTCTCATATAGGCTCCGAAAAATGTGCTTCATTTTAATATATTATGTTAGCCAAGTAGTAAATATAATTTAGATCCAAAAGTATTTACTTTTGTAAGCGCTTTTCTGCACTTCAAAGCCCATTATATACTCCATAAATACTCCCTGAAGTTTGAAATGACAGAATCTCCATTATCAAGCCATCCCTAGTGCCGTCTCCACCTGCAGTTAGGCATCGGCAAATAGTATCTGACCCCTTGATCTATTTGCTTGTTGAACTTGTGCTTGGCACTTCATTCCATTTAGCGCCAAGCAAGCGGAAGACTCATGCTCATCAATATGATGGTCGGGTCGCATTATCAAGCGTATTTATTTGGCAAACAGCAGGAATAGCCTGAGCAGAAACAAGGCGGCGACAGAGCACGGGCATAAAGATAAACCAGGAGGCTCTTATCGGCCGAGATGAAAGCAAGAAAAATGGCAAGAAATGGCCAAGGACACACAACACACACGCACACGAAACTCGAGCCGGATATTCGGGGCAAGAGGAAGAGGGCCTTGCGGATACAAAAATATTGCGCACGTTGACAGCTTAACGTACATAATTAATGTGACAATCTAACGGAATGCGTGTGTGCGGACATTAATATATGGGCATTGGGCCAGATAAACATGTTGCCGAAATGATCAGCCCGAGTGGCACCCGGTGGTCCACAGATGACGAGGCGTACATTAATTACGGGCCCGCAACCAAAACCAAACTGTTCTGGCCTTCTCGCCTTCTGGCCAAGTCGACTGCTCGGCAAAGCTGCGAACTCATTAAAGGAGCAGGCAACGGGGCGTATGCGTGACGCGTGCTAAATAAATTGAGAGACAAACAACAAACATTAAAAGTTTTTATTGCCCAAATGCGTTCTCACCAGAAATATAAATGCGCACATCCGCATACGAGGCGGATCGCCGGCATCCTCGTCGGCAACAAAAAGCATTAAATTACTTTATAATCCGTTTATAGCTCTGCCCGGAAGTGGTCCAGACTCAGGCTGAGAGCAAACAAACAAACAAGCAAACAAACAAACAGACAAACTGGCAAATACTGACAAACTCTGGCAAACACTCACGACCCGCCCCCTGGGAGGTCAGCTCAACAGCATAATCAAATCAAAGATTACGTTGAAACATTGAAATTACGTCTAGAGCCGAAAGCACTCATAGTCATAGGCACTACCACACACACGCCGCACACGGACACGTACACACACAGGCACACGGCCACCGGCTCTTCTTCTTCCGCGTCCTTGTTGGCCGAAATTAAACGCTTTCGCCGTGCTCTACGAACTTTTTAATACCTACAGTGGGGACTCCAGTATAATGCCACCCAAATATTCGCGCCCACTCATCTTATGGCACTATCGATGGTACGTAGCTTCGAATCAAACAACAAAAGGTAGTAGCAAGGTAGCAAGTTTGGATTCAAAGCCACAATAATCATAATTAATACGCAGAAATGCCTCCTTGGTACCCATTACACTCGAGTATTCCCCCGCCGAGACCGAGTACCGAAAAATTCACAGCCTAACGTGGGGCGCCACAAACAATTACAAACATAAAGCGGGGGGCTGTACAACTTTGACCCTGGGAAACGTAAACAGCAAGAACTACGGAACTATGGACCACAAAAAAAACGGTAATAACTGTGCTTCATTCATGCACACAAGGTGATTCGTGTGCCTGCGCACTCTCTCTTTCCCTCCCTCTCTCTTTTTCTCTCTCTCTCTCTCTCTCTCGCTCGGCTCAGTGGCTGCAACGTCCTGCGGCTCTCTTTCCAAAAGCTGGCAACCCTGCAGAGCGCACATTTGCGAGCCAGACGCTTAAAAGCCACGGCTTTTATCAGTTGGCTCGCTGACTTTGTCCTGTGAACTTCGACGCGCTGGAAGGTCCTGCGAAGTTTCCGCATTTCCTTGCTGGTGTGGGTGCGACGTGTTTTGTGAGTGCGCGTGTGTGTGTCTGTGAGAGGGCGCCAACTTTTCGGTGAGACTTTGGCCACCAGTAAACAACAACAAAGCAGAAACATTGGCAAAAAGCAAGAAAGGCGGAAAGGACGAAGGACGAAGGACACAGCCTGCGGTCAGGGAAGCCGCAATCAAAAATTGTAAACAAACACTGGAAATCGAGCAAAATCAACAAAGGAAGACGACGCCGCCCTGTAGGCAACGATTCCGCTGCTAGCCAACATGGAAATGGACGTCAATCGCCCGACCGGCCGCCATGGCAACCTAATGACCATATCCGCCCGCTGCTCCAACAACAATGCAGCCGGAGTTGGAGCTGGAGCAGGAGTTGGAGCCGCCGGAAGTGAGGCACCGCCCAGCGGCTGCTGCGGCATCTTGGGCCGCCTCCTCTGCGTGAGTCGCCACAAGGCCACGCAATCGGTGGCCGGCAGCGATCCCTTCTCCCAGCTGCAACTGCAGCGCAAGGGAGTCGCCACACCAGCTGCCGTTTCCGGACAGCGACGCCGCAGGACGCCGCAGGAAATCTACTTCGAGAGTCGCGGCAAGTCCTGCAAGAAGCTGTTGAAATTCAATGGCAATTCCAACAAGGTGAGTGGCGAAGGGCAGGGGCATCTCAACGGGTTTGCCCGCACAAAAGAAATGGAAATTCGGCGGGATGCGCATGAAATCCTTGCTCGCGAAGCTGCTGCATTCAGTGGCTTCAATTGACTTGAAGTGGAATAATCAAAGCACACTCTAGCATTGAATTTGGGATGCTCTTAGTTTGAAAATATTTGATTTGAAAGGGAGGCAATGTTGGGGGAAGCACTCAGTTGCCTGGGCAAAATGAACCAGAAAGGGTTAAGGAGCAGCTACTTGCATCTTCCTTTCAAGGTTCTCGAGAGAAGGAATAAGTGGATAATTAATTTCTAGTTTGACCCAGTGCAGCTGGAATGTCTTCAGAAGCCGGCTCCTTTTGTTGTACTGTGGAACACCTTGAGAGAGTCCCAGTGCTTATCGCATAATGGAACAATCCCCTTCTCGAGCGCATTGCAAACAATCCTAAAAGTGCATAAATTTTACAGTCTCCTGGCTACATTGTCATCCATTGCGAGGCGAGGACCCCAAAGCCGGAGTCCTGGCGCCAAAGTGCCACGAGCCATGAGCCAGGAGCCACTCAACCGTAAGGTAGCCAATACCCAGGGGGTATCCCCCGCCCCTCTTTCCCCTTCCCCCACAATTATACACCTGTGTGTGTGTGTGTGGGGCTTTGTTATAAATTTTGGAAAATTTGTAGCAAAGGCAGCGGAGTGAAGTTCGCTCGATTGCCCCCGGTTTGTTTGGTTTGGCCTAGGTAAAATGAAAACTGGGATGCGATGGTTTGGGCTGGGATGGGTAGTGATGGGCTGGGAAAATAGGGCCAGGAAACACACACACAGAATGCTTATGCCACTTTGCATATAAATCATTCGGCATTGTGGCCAGGACGCAATGCGCTTATGAAATATTTCGTTTGTTTAATGCGCCAAAAGACAACATTCCACTCCGCTCCACACCCTGTGGCTCCACAGTGTACCCACTTTCCCGATATCCCCAAATTCCCACTAATTAAAAACGTGCAAAAGAAAAGCCAATCAAACAGGTCGATGCACAACAATGGCTGCGTGCTCCTTCTATTCCGAAAACCCCAGAAAAAGAGATGTTCAATTATGGCACTGCACTGGGCGAAATAACTGCCGAAATAACCAGCCAAATGGTATTAAATGCCTGCTAGTCCTGGTAACTGGGAAGCCTTCAAGTTCACAAGAAGCCATCCCCACGCTACTTGAACCAGTAGATTCCGTAGTCGCCTGTTTCAGTACCAGGAGACACTATGTGGCTCCCGAATTTGTTTCTCTGCACGAGGAGTGTCTGCATCAAATGCACATTTCGCACACACACTCACTGGCCCCGCAATCTGCTGGGCATCACGCACTGGAGCGCAAGCAACAGGATGAATTTGTTAAACAACACGAACACGAAGGATCTGCAGGAGCTGGAGGATTGGGCAGGGGTGCGGAGTGAAAAAGTGAAAAATGAAAAACCCATTCGCCCTATCAAGTGACATCATCAATTTCAGTCTATTTTGCACACAGTCGACTTGTGGCCCTGGTCGTCCGGTTGTAAGTTCTCCTGGTCTTCTGGTCTTCTGGTCTTTGGCCGTCGTGGTCGTCCTGGCAGTGCAACAATGCCAAAGGACATTAACACCAATCCGTTGACAACGAGTGCAGAGGAACGATGGAGACATAGACGCTCTAGAGCCCGCTCCCGTAAAATTCAATTCGAAAAGCTTTACTCGGTCATTGAATCAAGCGCTTTGAGCAGCAGCAGCAGGAGCAGGAGCAGGAGCAGGAGCAGGATCCTTTGATGAACAATCTGATTACCCCCAGTTTCGTCCTCAAAGGGTAGTTTACACATCGTCCCCCATCGATTTTATAATGAAGCAATAGCAGCAGCAATAGCAACAGCAATAGCAATGGCTTAGGTAAAACAAAAACTGTTTGTACACAGGATAAATGGTATCCATTTGCAACCACCCAAAAACGGAAATCAACCCCCAGATGGCTGTATATATTTCAGCATATACGGATAATGTTGCAAGTGAAATCTGCCGAGTGAAGTTTACCCTCTTAACCGAATGCGATAATGCTGTAAGACATATTTGCATTAACAGCCGAGTTCGCTGGGGGAAGAAGGTGTCGCTGGAGTCAGGGAATACCGCGGCATATGCGAATTGAAAATGTATCTATGGAGTCAGGTCTGGATCGAATGATCTGGTCCGTTTGCCTCATTATTTGAGCGCCGACAATGGCTAATGCAAAATGCTTTACACTTTAATCTGCCCATTTAGTTTTAATGACCCTTTCCTCATGCCGTGTAATTAGCTTGCCGAGCACAAAGGCCAATGCAATCAAGGACTCGACGAGCTCGCAGAGCGAAAGAGTATTATGAAAAAACGAACGTCCTCATCGGGCAAGGCGGAAGTGACTAGCCACTGGCCCGCCCTTCCAGCCCACTTCCCACCCCCTCGGAATGTCCTTGTAAGCTGCTGACTGTCTGCGAGCATCGTTATGTCCTGGCTCGAGTGTGAGTGTGTGTGTGTGAGCTTGCATATGCATATAAAAGGAAGAAAATGCCATCAACATTGCAACGTTGTAATTGCCAACAGGCAATGAAGAGCCACAGCCAAAAGCAGGAGGCGGAGGGGGCGTGGTGCGAGGTGGGGCGGGGAAAGCGCAGCCAACTGCCAACTGCCACATGTCCTGCAAGCTCAGCTCCAACTGAAAAAAGGACCCTCCGCCTGGTCGCTCACTGCCGCCGAGGGTCACTCGTAAAATGTTCAATTAAGGAAGGATTACATCATTTCATGGGAACAGTGCTTCCGTCTAAGACCATGCCCACCTACTTATTTCAGACCACCAAATGTTGTGGTACTTCGTTGTGCTACATTTAAATAGGCATTTAAAGATAGTTCGATTTGAAAACTCGATTTGGGTCGTGAATTTTGGAAGCACTCTCCTCGAAGGATGTGTGCGTTGGCCGCCTGGGCTGTGCGACACTTTTAGCACACGGCTAATGTGTTTTGGCTGGCGTTGCTGCTGCATTTTCCATGACGAAGCCAGCAGGACGCAGGAGGAAGGATGCAGAATGCCGGATTCATGGGTTTGCAGGAGGAGATGGAGGGGCTTTGCGGTCCACTCCAAACTGCATTGTCTGTCTGGCTGACTGATGAGCTGGTCGGCCGAGTGTCGCCTCTGGTTTGGCTCTTTGCTGTTTACTGATTTGGCCGGCTGGCCGGATCCAACTATTCATTATAATCAGGCCTGATTATGCCCGCCCAAAAGTTAAGCAGGCCAAGTCAATTTGGGAGTGTATTTATTTAACTGGCGCTGGAAGCCGGCAAGTCGGATGCGGCATGTCGGGCGCTGGGTGTGGTGTATAAAATAAAAAGTCATAAAACTGAGCTGAACCGTTGATCCAAGTAGTTGAAACACAGACCCTTTTTTCTGCCCACCAGATGAAGCAGTTCGGCTGCCTTTATTTGGCTGAAGGGCGCTCCCTTGGCTTTCCATACTCCGCTTTTTCGTTGGCGATGACGATGACAAGGGTGCTTTGCCGCCTCACTGACTAAATAAAATTGGAATTTATTATCATGATTTGTAGCAAGAAGAGGCCAAGAGACAGCGGCAAAATGGCGGGCATAAAAAGCACAGCGGCAATGCCATCCCATTGCTCCTCATCAGATTCCAGATCCCAGATCCCAGACCCCAGACTCCGCAGCCCAGCGCCCAACTGCCTGACTCATCCTCGAATCCCGAGTCCTGAGTCCTGAATCCTGAATCCCAAACGCCTAACCCAAAGTCATAGACTTAGATAAGTAAGCGGGGCACTCTTAAATTTATATTCCCCGGCAAAGATTTAAATCGCTATGGTCAAAGTTGAAGGCAACGCCTACTACTATCGGGGCGTGGGGCGGATGGAGAAGGGGCGTGACAGCCGCAGAAGGCTTAACTGTGCAGTTCCTTGCTGGTTTATTAGGGTTTTCCCTCCAGCTGCTAAGGCGATTTGCTGCCACCCGCATTCGAGCTGATGCAGCTGGCCACGGGCCGTATGCGCGATTTTGCTGACTGGCTTCTCGGCTCTTTTGTGGTAAGTGGTGGATGGCTGGGAGGCTGGGAGGCTGCGGGGCTGGCTAGTGGCAAGTGGCAAGTGGCCAGGGGAACTGGCGGCTTACAGCTATCAATGAGCCACTGAGTGGCAGGTTTTCTAATTGCGGCGCCTGCAACATGGCCAGCAGGATTTATGGGCCTAGCCCGACTTTAAGCTTTAGGTTTAATCCATAGTAAGTTGGCTGGTTGAATGTTAAAGCGCTCGAATAAGATTGTCATACAAACTCAGCAGGTACGAGGACCGCAAATAATCCAGCAGCTCCTATTACCAAATTAAAATTCTTCATCCATCCCAAAACCAAAACTGCCCCTAAACTCGTAGAAAAGCCCTGGCTTACGCGTGCAGTTGAAGCTGGCCAAATATCTTGGCCATTATTGTTAAGCTGCCCGGGGAAGCTTACCTGCCCGGTATTTCTTGTTTAAGCCACAGTCTGCTGTCATTCTGCAGTTTCAGCTGGGAACTACGGACTGCAAGTGGAAATGGGAACGGAAAACTCGTAGCTACTCCTACATATTTTGTGGCTGTCAATGTTTTCGCTGGAATTTTCCATCTCCATGGCGTATTCAAAGTGGGACCGTTGGGATAAGCCTAAGTTGAAGTGGAAAACGCTGCGCAGGAATGTGTAAATGCAGCCCACGCAATTTCATTTCACCTGTCAGCTCAATGTTGCCAAATAAAAGTATAAGTAAAAATGAAAATAAAAATAAAAATAAAAACAAGAACGCAGACCCGGCAGCCACGTACAAGCCAAAATGTTGCCTCCTTACATTTTTTGGCGGCGTGTACAACTTTTGGAGCTAAACTGCCGGCTCTCTGCTGCCTGTTCTGCCGTGACAAATTGCGTTAATGCCAAGTTAAGCTGCTGGGGAGCTTGGAGCACCTGGGGGGCTAAGGCACTC